CTTCCACTTCAGAGCACCGTTTATAGCCTTTAAGATTAGTCTGTGTGAGTCTGTGTGTGTCTGTGTGTGTCTGTGTGTGTCTGTGTGCGTCTGTGTGCGTCTGTGTGTGTCTGTGTGCTGTCCTTCTACACAAACCTCACAGTGACAGCTCTGTGGGGATCACATAGAGAGAAAACACGGCCAAAAGGAGGCCGTATATTTCACTTTTTCTACACCTCGCAGCTCCCAGAAGTCCTGGGGTCAGTCCTACTTTTTGGGGGTGCTGTTAAAGGCATGCCACTTAAGTTTGGAGAGAAAAAAAAATGACGTGGCATGTTAGAATTTCGCTTAAAAACAACAACCGTTCTTCACTTTTATTACCAGTTTTTTTTAACTATAATAAAACTGACAACGGGCCAAAAAATGGTGGAAATGTTTCACTACGTCATATTAAATAGTTAAAATAGAATAATTGGAAAATGAGTTCAACATCACCTGTTTTAATGAGTTCTGTTGGTTTTGCTAGTCAACTTTTCTTAAAAATTGACATGTGAATGTTAAGACAATGATGAATGATACTGAATTTGACCAATCCTAGCTCAATAGAACTGAACCTTTTGACCACACCAGTGTCCTGTGCTGACCAAAATTAAAGGCACAGTTTAACTGAATGTTATTTATCACGACCAACTCACTTTTTTTGTTCTTTCTCAGCTCTGAGTTATAAATGATTTGATAGAAATACCGTATATTCTTCACGTTTAGACCCAGCTTTCCCGTTCTAAGACGAATCATGAGTGAAACTGAGTTGAAAGGTACTTTCGGCAACTTTACTGATGTGTTTGAATAGATTAAGTGTAAAGACCAAACCTCTTCAGGATGACTCATAACAAAAATAACTAGAAGCACTGGATTCTCCGAACTAAAGTCTAAAGTCCTGCTTCTGGAACAGGACACATTTTTCCAGAACAGAGGAAACGGTCATCATTTGGAGGAGACAGGGTGGTGGATTCTGGACAGTGTTGTGTGAACACACAACCTACAGCCTCCATTTCTCTCTCTCTCTCCCTCTCTCTCTCCCTCCCTCTCTCTCTCTGTCTCTCTCTCTCTTTGCACAAAAGCCCACATCTGCGCTCGCCGCCCATTAATAATTACTATTTATACTCCCAGAGCTAAACAGAGAGGGAGAACACATTGCCCCAAGCCCTTTTGAAGAGAGATCTTCTACACTGGGACACTCCAAGTGAACTTAATGACTGAAATGTTTGTGTGAGCAAAAAACGCACATTTCCACGCAACAAGTCTTCCAAAAGCGGATTCGGTTGAGTAGTTTTCCCGGTGAAAAATGGCCTCTAACGTGTGTCTGGAGTTTCTTACTGTGGGTTTTGCTGTGGTCAGCTGACTGAGAGCACCTCACACATTATCTCGTTGAAACAACAACAACAACAACAACAAAACGAGCACATGATGATGTGTGCGCCAAACGCGAACTGTGGGGAACCTGATGTGAATAATAGCCCGTGTTGGACTGGTTCTATGTTGTTGTCCGAGAAGAAAATCTGTGTGTGGATTTGACAACTTGACAGAGTCAACGGTGAGTTCAAAAGGCAGGAATAAAATAAGAAAAGAATGCTGCGCAAACGCTGCGTAAAATCCAAATTACGCAACTAAAACGCATCTACAGTGGGGGAAATAAGTATTTGAGCCCTTGCTGATTTTGCAGGTTTTCCCACTTACAAAGAATGCAACGATCTATAACTTTAATCATATGTACATTCTAACAGTGAAAGACAGAATCCCAAAGAAAATTCCAGAAAATCACATCATATGAATTTATAAAAATTGATAACCATCTGATGAGGAAAAATAAGCATTCTTTGTAAGTGGGCAAACCTGCAAAATTAGCAAGGGCTCAAACACTTATTTCCCCCACTGTAACAGAATAGCTATAATAATAATGACTCATACATTACTACTAGAAGCACTTACTGATGACTTGGAATAAAGTAAGTTTAAACCTTCATTCAGATTCATTTGAATTATCTGAGTTACAGTGGGGGAAATAAGTATTTGAGCCCTTGCTGATTTTGCAGGTTTGCCCACTTACAAAGAATGCAACGATCTATAACTTTAATCATATGTACATTCTAACAGTGAAACTACTGACGACATGGAATAAAGTAAGTTTAAACCTTCATTTGAATTATCTGAGTAATCTAAAATTGGGGTTTCTTGGAGTCCTACCTCTTCCAGAATCGTGTCCAGTCTCGCCAGAATAAAGGGCTCCACCTGTGCCGCAGACATGCACGCGTCCTGCTGCTGTTCCAGAGAAACTATCCTGGACTTTAGCTCTGAGGAGCGCACGAGGACGAAAAGGCACGCGCCCAGGCACAGGGCGCACGCCGCCAAACAAGCCCCAAAGCCGGGCAGATCCCTCAGGATCCCCCGGTGGGGCTTTTCTGGATAATTCTGCTGATTCTGCTGGTTCTCCACAAAATTCCTCCTTCCCTCACCTGCTCCATTAAAGGAACTCTTCTTCTGCCCCCCCTCCATTCTAGATATGAACTTTCCGTTTTATCCACAGAGAGAAATCCCTTCACGCATCAGACGATTAGCGGTTGTTGTGTATTTGGAGGTGATCAACTTCTGCGTGCGTCCCTTTTTCTCTCTTTTCTGGGCAAATGCAAAGTGAGGGCTGGAGGCTTTCTGCAGCTTCATCCGTCAGTGATGTTCCTGAATCCTCTGGATCCTCTGATTCGGCGTATTTTGCGCTTTTTCTGCGCTTTTGCGCTGTTCTCTGTGCGCTTTTGCGCTGTTTGCTGCGCGCTTTAGGGGTTTGGCGTCTGTCTGAAAGTGTCTGAAACCTCTGCTCTGCTCTTTCTGCTCACAGCCCTCACGCTCCTCCTCTCAGAAGGGCTTTAGGTTGAATGCCGGGGCTGGTTGTCGCTGCCCCCGCTTTGATCTGCGCACTTGGTGAGAGATATTTTTAGGGGTGTGCAAAGCCCCGGGACACACACACACACTGTCACGAAAGTGTGCGCAGCAAATCAGCTTCGGTCCAAAACAACACAGAAAGCATGCTTTTTCTTCGCTTTCCTTGTTTTATTTCCTCACTTTGTACACGATGGAGTCTTTGCGCTAAATTTTGCGCCATGAAGGATCAAGCAAAAACAAATTTTTCTGTTTTGTCCAGACTCACACCTTTTACATGTGGTTGGATGGCACAACGGAATACGTTGCTTTCACAGACCATCTGCTATTTTCAATTAAGCTTTGAGCTACTTGGAATTCTTTAAATCATATTACTTTAAATCATTGTGAGTTTTTATTAATTTACTTAAATGTGATAGATCTATATAGTTAAAAAAAAACATTTTCTTTGCTTTACTTTGCTTAACTAAAGTTATATCTAAGGGCCAATGTAATCAGAGACTGAATAATAGCAAAGTTCCACTCTAAAAGATATTAGTCCCTGAAATAATCTGAATATCACAGCATAACTTCAATGTTCATTGAAGTTCATCAAAGTCTCCACCAAAACTTCATTTCACAAACTAAATCAAGAAGGGATTGTCGATTCAAACAAAAATAAAAAATCCCAGTACTTCCTGCTTATTGTAATTAAGATATATAACACATACAAATAAAATAATGGATATATTATCGAAGTAAAAAAAAGAAGGTTTTCAATGAGTGGGAAATTTACGTTTATAAAGATTGATCTAAAGATTCTGGACTTTTGTCCAATCAAAGTAAATAAATTGTTTCTCCAATCAGTCTCCACTTTTCTTTAATCAAAGTCCACCAGCATCACGGCATCGCCGCGGCAACGAGCACAAAACGGGTGAATGATGCGCTCAGCAGGTTCAAAACTGTTTGTGGTTTAAACGTATAGAGGATGACCATCTGAAATTTATCGAATCCATCAAATATGGCTTTTGCATGGACTTTGATTTTTATAGGCTCCATGCAAAAGTTCCCTCTGCAAAAGACATAAAAGCACAAAAGCAACCGTGAACTTTGTTTTTGGGAAAAATATTACTTTAAAAGATGTCTAGAGAGTATTCACAATCAGCCGTGTAGGATTCTTCTTTTGTCATTTAAGTGGTTGAGCAATCAACCAACATAAACCATCTCTTTACTTTATTTTCAATTGTATTAACTTTACAAAATAAAAGGAGCACATTAAAACTATTTATTTGCACGAGTCAGCACATGTGCGGTACGTGACATTTTTCAGAAATGAGTCTTATCATACAGGGTCTTCACTGTGAGACAGAAGGTGAATACTGGGAAGATGTTGCTCTTAAAAGAGTAACAAATTGATAAAATAAAAGTAAGACCGAAGCAGCCAGTGGTAGTTCGGAAGGGTCGCCATATCTAAAAGCAGCCCATTTTTAAAGAAAAGTGCCGTATGGAGGATGAAGGCTGACAATCAGAGGAAATGGGTTTTGGGTCCCATTAACAAATGTGTAATAAAGCTTTTTGTTTAGTTCCAAGGGGTTTATTGCAACAAAAACACACTCAAAAGGAGTGGATGGCAGACATGGTTAAAAAAAACAAGGCTGTGACAAAAACTATGATCAAAGTAGCAAAGCAAGATTAACAAGGCTGTGGCAAAAGTATCAAAATAAAGTAAACAAGACCATGGCAACACAAGGTTAACAAGACTGTGGCAAAACAAGGCTGTGACAAAAACTATGATCAAAGTTGCAAAGCAAGATTAACATGGCTGTGGCAAAAGTATCAAAACAAAGTAAACAAGACTATGGCAAAAAAAAGGTTAACAAGAC